TTTCTCCAATCTTCTGTTGTCCAATTTTGGTGAATCTGTGTGAATTGTAGCCTCAGTTTCCTGTTCTTAGCTGACAGGAGTGGCACCCTTTGTAGTCTTCTGCTACTGTAGTCTATCCGCCTCAAGGTTGGAGTTGTTTTGCATTCAGAGATGCTCTTCTGCAGACATCGGTTGTAACGTGTGCTTATTGAGTTACTATTGCCTTTCTATCAGCTGGAACCAGTCTGGCCATTCTCCTCTGACCTCTTGCATCAACAAGGCATTTACACCCACAGAACTGCCGCTCACTGGATATTTTCTCTTTTTCAAACCATTCTTTGTAAACCCTAGTGATGGTTGTGCATGAAAATCCCCGTAGATTAGCAGTTCCTGAATTACTCAGACCAGCCCGTCTGGCACCAACAACCATGCCACGTTCAAACTTAAATCACCTTTTCCCATTCTGATGCTCAGTTTGAACTGCAGCAGATCGTCTTGACCATATCTAAACGCCTAAATGCATTGAGTTGCTGCCATGTGATTGGCTGATTAGAAATTTGTGTGAATAAGCAGCTGGACAGGTGTACCTAATAAAGTGGCCGGTGAGTGTATATTGCAGAATAAAATCAAATGCAAATCGCAATGTTACTTTTTTTTTTTCAATATCGTGCAGCCCTAGTAGTTACAATAAGTGAAGACAATATACAGAAAACCCAATTAGTCATATGGTTAAAAAAAAAAAAGTTTTTTTTATTGGTAATATGTTAAAAATTACAACTTAATACACTGAAATCCTTTAAAAAAAGCATATTAAAAAAAATATGAAAAGTTTGTGAAGCATACATGAATAGATATGGAAGCCCATTTCCACTTGGTAAAAATAATAAAAAAAATACCATAAAGTCTATATTATGACTTAGCAAAGTTGAAATGATAAATTCATAACTCAAAATTATGAATTACTAAGTCAAAATCGTAACTTCCAAAGTCCACTCTGAAGGGTTTTTTTTCTCCTCCCAATGTAAGAAGTTGGTTTTGTCTCAGAAGAAGTAAACCCATTGGGCTTTGTTCAGTTCATTTGTGGAAACCATATTGGCTTACTGTGGTGTATTTAGTTGTTCTTTGATTTACTAAAACCCTTCAGAATGCTCAGAAATGCATTCTTGAAATACTTCTGATTTTAAAGACATTGCTGTCCATGTTGTGGGCCTTCAAATTAGTCTGAAAAAGATCAGCGTTTTTCTTCCACATCTGATGAATGTTTTCAGTGAGATCTGTTATGCCAGCATGCTCCAGTTGCTGTTTGATGACAGATTTTATAATGATCGTTTTGGGCCAATTAAAATAGATCCGGGTGTTTGTGTAGGTCTCTTTTAAAGAACCCTTTTGATTAGCTGTAATGATATCTTGTTCAAAGTAAGCCCTAACAGCTTACTCTGGTTTATCCAGTGTTTGGCTGGAATTTGAAGGGCTAATGGAGGAAAATAATGAATAATGGGGAAAAAAAAAGTAAAAATGTTTTGGGTCATTTAAAAGCTTATGCTTATTTTACTTCATCATCGCACTTCTAGAGCTGTACAGCTTTGAAAAATGTCTGTATTTTAGAATATCATATATTGGTTGATTTAGGACGATCATGGGTAAATATAACCATCACAGGCTTATTGGAAAAACCTGGTTCATAAGGACCACCGAGTCACGAAAAGCGGAGGTTTTTCTTTCCGTTGGACATGCGACATTTCAAATTCCATTAAAACAAATGTCGAAAGTTAAAAATGAAACATACGAAATTAGATGAAACTATGCTGGAGAGCCTGGTAATGCGACATTAAGTATTTTTTACTGAAACTTTAATTAAAAAAGTGCTTCCCTGGTCTTATCCATATTTCTTTGCATGTTGAACACACCACGGCCACAACAGTAAAATAAAAAAAAACTGCAACTGCATTAATTGCGTTAATTTTTTTTATGCGTTAATTATTTCAAATTAATCGCATGCGTTAACACACTAATTTTGACAGCATTAATAAATAAATATATATATATATATATATATATATATATATATATATATATATGGGCAATTCCATGCAAATGTCAACCTTGCCATAAAAAATAATTTAGTTTTATCTATATTTTTTTGTGTTAGCAAGTATTTTACAGTACTGTAAAAATACTTGTAAATGTATCTGTCAGTATTTCAAACTATTATATTTAATTTGCCAAAATCACACAAGTGGCTATTTCACAGCTGTCACATCCATAACGGAAATGTGTCACATCCATAACGACACTTTTTCTTCATAAATGCAAAAATGTCAAATAAAATAAAATCATTCATTATAATTCTATAGTGAGACGATTCATTCCTGTTTGATGAGCATTGTTTCTTTTGGGTTGTGCAGTTTAACAGTCAGAATTTCTAAATAATCTGTTGTCCATTGTAAATTCGCAAACTTTTTATGTCACATCCATAACGTATGTTTATTTTCTTAATTTAAAATATAAAACATGTTTACATATTGATATTTTTCTGCTACCATAACTCTGTGGTGAGCTATTTTGGAAAATATAAACAGAAGTTTTGAATTGATACAATGTCAACATATACTTTCTGTGTGAAATTATGTTTTGAGTTTTTACTGCAAATGTCACATCCATAACGCTGGAATTGCTCATATATATATATATATATATATATATATATATATATATATATATATATATATATATATATATATATATATATATATATATATATATATAACTTTACCTTAAAAGTTTTTGTAAATAAGCTACTCATGCGATGTGACTATTGCAGATACACACATTGCAGTATCGATGCTCAAACGATACACTTCTATTATCAATCAGTAATTTTTCAAATGTACATTTCCCGCTAACATTTAAGTGCTGTTGAGAGCATACTTAAACAGCGCTGATGTTTTTTTATGCCAGAGTTAGATGCAGTGTGTGAATCACACCGCTGTTTAGCTGACTATCAGAATAAAGCCTGTGCCCTGCCGTCTGTGTGTGTTATGATAATTCCTGCCAAATCATTCACATTCAACAAAGCATGTTTTTATAACTAAGCTGTAATGCCGGGTGAGCCGAAAGACGGCCTGCCTCTATCTCTCCCTACAAATCGTGGGTATTTCCTTCCAGTTTTTGTTAACAATTTAACCATGTGTTTTGTTTGTCAGAAAAGACTTATTTTTAGTGGGATTTGAAATTTTTTAGTTTTGTTGAATTTGATACAACATCAGACATTTTTTGGACACACATTGCCTGTTTTCCCACACAATTTCAGACTACATTCTGTGTAAAAACGAGAACTGATTTGATGTAGTCTTTGTTAATAGATTTATTTTAATAAACATTATTGTTAATGGATATCTGTACACCATGTGCTGCAATACAATAGACTTTCCTCTGCAGGATTGCAGATCAGCCATGTATTAAAACAATGTGTGTGTTAAACAATGTATTTTGCATCACCATGACGTAAACACAGGAGTGTAATATAAAACTATAGACGTTTTATTTTGTCCATACAATCTATATTGTCATATTACACAACCATAGCTGATTCAGATATGGGTATGGCAAGGAACCATATTCTCATTTTGGCATAATAATCAAGGATCTTTACTGCTGTAGCATGACTCTGGTACAGGGCTATTCAATTAGTTTGGCATGAGGGCCGGTTCATGAAAAGCATCCCAAACGAAGGGCCGGAGATATATGACTTGCTATATCAGTGATGACACAACTACATATAATGCCCGTATGCTGTATTTGTGCTCATAAAGACACCCACGTTGGCTTTTTCTACATTAAAATGTTAATATATTGTATTTTAAAACAGCTGCATTGTCTAATTGACTTTTGTTTTTGTTTACAAACATTCAAAATATTGCATTTCGCACAACAAAAGCAGTGCATTGCTGAAGTAGGCTTCTTCTACATTCAGACACATTCATATGTTATGTTTTAAACAGCATAACAATTAGTGATGCTACATTATAGATTTTAGTTGTACGATATAGTCTGAAGAATAATCATGCTTTCTTGGTTATCACGTCTCATGTAATTTAGAACAACAAGCTTTATATTAGGGAGGTAGCTATTTAGATTAACAGTTGTTATCCTCTGGATTCATGCGTACATAATCATTTTAACAATAAGTCGTTTTTTTCTACTAATTCGTAATTTTCTACTGCGTGCGCCCGGAAAGAGACTAATGCGTTGCTTTGCTTGTGCGCGCATATTGTCATTCTTACATTAGAAATAACAAACTTGCAAGCGGAAAAAAACGTGATATGGGAACGGCTGCTGCTATTTAACCCGGTGTGCGTGCATAGTAGCCTCGATGTACATACTTGGAACTTTAAACTAGTTGCACAACTTGTCATAACGTTTGTGTGCAACAGAAATGCGGCTTAGAGAAGCCTTTACGATTAATTAACTGTTACGAATTAAAGCGCAGTTAATAGTGAAATCAGCTAATCGTTGCATCCCTATTAATGATCACAGTGCATTGTAGCTATTTTCTACAAAACATATCCAAATGTTTTCTGCTGTCCGCACCACTCGCTTATGGTGAATCACGCTCTGCGCTGCCTCTGCAGCTCATGCTGTAATGAACAGACGCACGTCACTTCATAACTATAGCGGCCGTTTTTCGACTAAACCAAATTTAATTATGATGTCTTGGTCACACTATTTGGAAGGACTGAACAAACAACTTCTAACCGGCAATTGATTAGCCCCCGTCTAGAAGATGCAATGATATTACAGCACCTGAAAATAGTCATTGTTTAATATCAATGCTCCTGCTGCAGCCATGGTACTGCAGCAAAGTTCCTTGACTGTTACGCCAGAATGTGAGTATAAAAAATGGCAACTTCTTATTTTTTGCTGGTCTTGGTACACAAAGACGCTCCCCTTTAAAAGAAAGTGCTATATATAAGTATTGAGTTGAAATATTTTTGCTTTAATCCTGTTCTTTCTGTCCACAGACACGAATGCAGAGTTTACAGCCGGACCCGAAGGCTCAGTACCGCAGTGTGTACGGTGCGCTGAAGCGGATCGTGCGGACGGAGGGTCTCCTTCGACCCTTGAGGGGCCTCAATATCACTGTTTTGGGGGCCGGTCCAGCACACGCTCTCTATTTCGCCTGCTACGAGCGAATCAAGCGTAGCCTTAGTGACGTCATTCAAAATGGAGGCAACAGCCACATAGCTAACGGTAAGATTTTGAGTCAATTACAGATGTTAGAATATATTGGAGTGCTTCTGTTTTTGGATATTGAACGTTTTGCTGATTCTGAATAGATAATAATTACTAATAAGGTAAAAGAAACATTCATTGAAAATCCATCATATACAGTTGAAGTCCGAATTATTAGCCCTTCTGTATATTTTTTTCCCCAATTTCTCTTTAACTCTAAGTTTTTTTAAACATAATAGTTTTATTAACTCATTTCCAATAACTGATTTCCTTTGTCTTTGCTCTGAGGACAGTACAATATTTGACTAGATACTTCTTAAAATACTAGTATTTAGCTTAAAGTGACATTTAAAGGCCTAACTAGGTTAATTAGGTAAGTTTAGGGTAATTGGGTAAATCATTGTTTAGCAGTGGTTTGTTCTATAGATCATGGGTTGCCAAACTTTTCAGCCTGTGACCCCCAAAATAACATTGCCAGTGAGTCTAATAACTGCCTCCTTTCATTTTCATTGAAAAATATGAAACATTAGGCTCACTGTGTGGTTTTAGCAGTTTGTGCTTAATGTCAGTCTATATGCACACAATAAAGGTTATCATAGAAAGTGCATGCTGAAATACCCGAAATAGCCTTATAAAATATAAGAATCAGTAAGCTATAATTTTAATAATCCATAATCATTATAAAAATATAAAGTACAATAAAGTTTATACAATATAGGAAATACTGGAAAAACATGCAGAATTCGTGTATGTGGTTGCATGAAATAATAGGTATAAACTTATCTTTGCTCTCAGCCAAAACACGTTAATAGATTCAAAAGGCTGACTCAGATATAAGTCTATTTAAGATGAGTTATAGATCGCATTTAGCAACTACAGAGAGGTGAGATCCAGCGGCAGATTCGGGATGGCCTGGATGACGTTCAGCTGCTCTCAGCTGGGCAGGTGTGCTCAGACTCGAGAATACGCTGAAGCAGGTTTCAGCACATGACAGCATGTGTGAGGTCACATGACATGCATTTTCAGTGGTGTAGTGTAGATGGTGAGCTTGTCAGAAACGTCAGTGTGGATTTGGATCGTTTTCGTTCTAAAACAGTTTTAAAACGAAAACGTGTTCGTGTAAATGGGGCCTAAAATTGATACTAAGTTTTGACATCACCAAGCGACCCCTTGTTATTGACCCGCAACCCCACTTTGGGAACCACTGCTATAGTGCTATAGTAATAATATTGACCTAATAATATTGACCTTAAAATACGTAGTTTAAAAAAAAATGTAAAACTGCTTTTATTCCAGCTGATATAAAATAATTAAGACTTTCTATAGAAGAAAAAATATTATTGGAAATACTGTTAAAAATTCTTTGCTCTGTTGCACATCATTCGGAAAATATTTAAAATAGAAAAAAAATCAGACTTTAACCGCATATCCTGTTAGTATTTATTAAAGTGCTTTTATTTTGGCATTATCATTGCTTAAAGTTATGCGAAGACTTCCTAATTTGTTATTGAGTATTTTAATAAAGATTTCTCTTTTTTTTTTTTTGGTAACATTTTATGTTTGGATTTAGTAATTGGAAAAAGTATACTTTATATGTATTATCTTGTTTTATATACATACGTGCACAATTTCCAGTCAAAACTCACTTTTTTTGTAGCTTGCTTGCTAAAATACAACCTTTGGGACCATTCTCATTTGATGTAATAAGAATTTAGTAAAATCAGGTAATAAAGCATTATAGTGTTACTTCTAGGATTTTTTCCAGCTGTGGTGGCAGGCCTTTTACACAGATCTTCCAACTACCTATGGCGTTATAACAATGACAATGCTGAGAGTGCAGTATTTTGAGATCGCATTTATGTAATACGAGTATGCAAATCTCTTTGCCTGCGCGCCAATTTCCTCTGTTCTCGCATAAAACTTCTTGCTCGCCCTCAAATCTAGGCTGCTGAAGTGCAGATTTTCTTGTGTGCTCTCAAATAAACTTTGCTGAAGTGAGATTAAGTACGTTTATGTAACGACAGGGTGTCTGCAAGGTCTTAAAAGTATTAAAAGTTGATAAATCAATGATGAGAAATTAAGGCCCTTAAAAGGTAATAAAAGTCTTAATCGCGTTTTTACGAGGTCTTAAAATTTGTTCAAGCGTTGTACAAAGTGTTTGACTCCAGAAAAGCATAAATATATTTAGTCATTCATTCATTCATTTTCTTTTCGGCTTAGTCACTTCAATAATCTGGGGTCACCACAGCGGAATGAACCGCCAACTTATCCAGCATATGTTTTTTTTTTTTACACAGCGGATACTCTTTCAGCTGCAACCCATCACTGGGAAACACCCATACATTCTCATTCATACACTACGGACAATTTTAGCTTACCCACTTCACCTGTACCACAGGTCTTTGGACCTGTGGGGGAAACCAGAGCACCCGGAGGAAATCCACGCGAATGCAGGGAGAACATGCAAACTCCACACAGAAATGCCAACTGACCCAGCCGAGGCTCGAACCAGCGACCTTCTTGCTGTGAGGCGAGAGTGCTACCAACTGCGTCAAAATATATTTATTTTCCTCCTAATATTAATAACGGCGTGCTCATTCCACGCGATTAGTTCGGGCCGGATTTATGAAATTATGGAAACTTTGTTCATCATAACTGAAAGCTATGCCGTGTTTGCTGGCATCACGCATCGCACAGCATGTAACCTTAGGGTTAAACAAATAACACACAGCACTACTACGATTGCAGAAATGGTCGCGCTGTTATAAATCACTTACATTTTAATATGTTTCGATACGATTAAAACCGCTATTAAAAAAAAAATAAAACAGCTACAACTGAAGATTTTGAACGAGAAGCTGTAATGTAGCCGTGGCAGGAATGAATTTAGGCGTGGAAAAATGAATGTCGGAACTAACGATAATTATATACCTTTCACTTTTTCTGTTAATGTTTTTATTAAATTTTTATTTATTTGATTATATTCAAGAGCTACTGATTCAAGAGAAACCAACACTTGAGTTATTGAGTGTTTCAAATGTGACTGTTTCAGGGTTCATTTTGTCTTCAGTGGGCTTCCATTTTGGTGAAACTGAATGAAAAGTGGAGCGACATTGTAAACAAAGCATATTAGTTTCTTTTCCCTTTCACATGTTGCGATTTGATATGTTAAGTATTTTCCTCTCCTGTTTCGCTGCAGGTGTGGCAGGGAGTGTCGCTACTGTCCTCCATGATGCAGTCATGAACCCAGCTGAAGGTATTTGTCATCTACTCTCAATACTGTCAATACTGAACCTTACACTTTTGATACTGCTTTCAGGAAAAGAAAAATTAAATTCAAGATAACTTGCAAACTGCAGTGTGCTAAAAAAAGTCTGGATTTCACCAGTAATAGATTTTAACCAGGGATTCACAAACTATTTAGCATATTAAATTTAACTTATTTTCATGTTAATATTTACTCTGTGTTCATTTGTGGTCCTCTGATATCTGTTTGTGGCCACACGACCTGCAGGAAAACAAGTTATGGCCAACATTAGGGCCCGCATGTACAAAGACTTGCGTTGAATTCATACTAAAACATTGCGTACAGACAAGGCTGTAAATGTGCGTACGCACTAAAAATAGTCAGATGTATGAAACATATGAAGCATATTCTCTTTGTACATCTGAATTAACGTGAAACTGAGCGCACGTGCACGACAAAAAAAAAACGCTCCCTGCCTCCTCCCCCGTATAAATATGGTAATGACTCTACTTTGACAAAACCAAACGAAAACGCAATGGCAAAAGCAAGCAAGAAGAGAAACTTTAAACAGAATGTGAATTGGAGGTGCTCCTATCGGAGGTAGACCAGAGAAAAACTGTGTTATTTGCAAGTTTGTCCTCCGGAGTTAATAACAAAAGAAAAAAAAAATAGAGTGGGAGAGTTTAGCTGACGCGGTTAGCGCAGGCGGGTCTAAACATCGCACTGTGAACGAATTAAAAAAGAAATGGTGCAGATGTAATGGTGCAGGTTAAGAGGAGAACAGCGGCGCACCGTCAAAGTGTGGACCAAAAAGGTGGGGGAACAGGGGATGCTGAACTAACACCCTTTGAGGGCGACACTTTACTGCTTACTTTTACTTTTTACTTTTTTACTTTTTAGCTGCTGCGCTCGTGCATCCAGGTTAATCGTGAACAACTCAGTGCGCATGCGCTAGTTGCACTATCGCGGTCTGATTATGTTTCAACCAAGTTTTATATGCATCAAATACATAACAACCGTGCCAAAAATTTCAACTGATGAACATATTAACAATAATACAACCGTATAGCCGAATTAAATGTATGCATTGGCATGTTACAGCCCTAATGAGTATGATTATGTGAAACTCCATATAGATTCATATTGCAATGATTTCGGGTACTTAGTGATGCACGCACACATATATGCACAATCCTTAAATGCTCTGCTGATTTGGACTCTATAATACCTGTTTTATAACTTTAATCTATCAACAACCACTACGTTCTTCCCGCTCCATGGTGGATTTTGGCATAGTCCATTTCACGTGAGATGGCGGGGGTGAGTGGAAAAAACTAAGTCGCGGGGGGAATATTCTCTACAGAAATAATTTATGATTTCTTATGTGGCCCGGTACCAATTGTTCCACGGACGGGTACTGGTTCGCGGCCCGGTGGTTGGGGACCACTGTATTAGAGGAACACTTTGTTAGGGCGGTATAGCAGCACCCCTCAGCTCTTATCAAGGCAGTGCCACCGGCATTTCAGCTGCCCAATCCCATTTGAGCGTCACATTATTTGCACATTTATTGAATGGAAATGTTTCTGATCCACGTATGCAAATTCGTCTTCAGATGGCGTCTCTATAGGAATGTGCGTGCAGTCGCTCCGATTACATCGGGAACACCGGCGATCGCTGCAAATTGCACTTTAATGTTTGGCTGGTCAACTGCATGGTATAGAAACCTTAAATACCTGCTAGACATGCGGATGATCCCGTCGCATACTTTGATCGTGCAGCCTACACTGAAATCATTAATGCAGACTAAACAAGTAGTGACAGAAAACACCTCTAATAACCTAAGAAACCCACCACGTCCCAAATAACCCACCTCAAGTACTTCCGCCATCATTATATTTTACAGGAAAGCCTAAATGCTAGAGGTGATCTCTCTGCGATCGTTACAAATATTAGGATTAATCTACAAGTCAAAACAATGTATTAATCTGTGGGTGTGATTTGTACGAATCACAGATCAACCATGATCTGTTACACCCCTAATAGGTGCCCTTTAAGGTACTATGGTTACATCCGGTCATTTTTTTTTGTGTCTCTTGCAGTGGTGAAGCAGCGGATGCAGATGTACAACTCTCCATACCGCAGCCTGTACGACTGCGTGCTGATGGTCAGCCGTAAAGAAGGACTGGCTGCTTTCTACCGCAGCTACAGCACTCAGCTCACCATGAACATCCCCTTCCAGGCCGTTCATTTCATCACCTATGAATTCATGCAGGAACACTTCAACCCCCATCGCCAGTACCGGCCCGAAACGCACATCATATCCGGAGCTGCAGCAGGAGCCGTGTCTGCTGCAGTCACCACTCCGCTGGACGTCTGCAAAACGCTGCTGAACACGCAGGAAAACGTGGCTCTGAGCTCCGCACATGTTAGCGGCCATCTCTCAGGCATGGTGAACGCACTCAGGACGGTTTACCGACTAGGAGGCGTACCCGCGTTTTTCAAAGGCATCCAGGCCAGAGTCATCTATCAGATGCCGTCTACAGCCATCGCCTGGTCCGTCTATGAGTTCTTCAAGTACTTTCTGACTCAACACGAGTCGCACGTTCAGGAAGTTTCCCACAAAACCAGCCCTACATGAGGCTCTATCCATTCCAATTTCATCTCCATGAGGAACATAGATTGATTTCTCATGCAGTCGTCGACACTCCGGTGGCTGTTTGTATTAATTTATTAAATGAGTTTCATGTTGTTACAGGAATGTACGGACGGATGCACACTACAGAACTCTTCGTAACAGAATGATGTCTTGTTTGTATTCTCATACGTATTTATGATCGAGCGCGCGTTTATATTTATATATGCAAACCCACCATCTTCTCGACGATTAAACTGACCCGTGAGGTAGGACGTTTTTATTTTAATTGTTGGGTTTTCTGGACGTTTCATTTCCAGTTTTACTTTTATCGCTTGAATTATTTTTATTGGAATCATTTTGTAAGATATTTTTGAATTGTTGCACAATAATGAGAGTTTGTTTTTTTTATGATTGCTGTTATTATGGAAAAGCTGCCCGGCTATTATTAACTATTTAAAATCGGACGCAAATTTCTGCTAATAATTTCGAATGTGTTTTGTAACGAGGGGTTTTAGTTTGTGAATTTCAAAGTCAGGGAAAGCAGCGTATATTTAGTCTGATTTATTCTACAGTACAACTTGATGGACAAGCATTTTATTCGGATTCCGTTAACTGCGAAATACTCGGACAAAAGTCCAAAGGCTAGTTTACGCACAATTTGCATTTTTGCAAAAATATTATTTTACACTTTAAGACACTGGTCTCAAACTCAATTCCTGGAGTGCCGCAGCTCTGCACAGTTTAGCTCCAACCACCTCCAACCTGCACCTGCTTAGTAGTCTTCAATAGTCTTGATTATTTGGACCAGCTGTGATTAGGGTTGGAGCAAAACTGTGCTGAGCTGCGGCCCTCCAGGAATTGAATTTGAGACCTATGCTTTAAAATGATCTATTAATATTTTATTTCCAAAGAGACAAAAATTGGATACTAATTTAAACCGAATTCATCACACTAAAGCACTAATGCAATCTAGATCAGTGTTTCTCAACCACAATCACCAGCACTGCGTGTTTTGGGTTCCATTCAATTCATCTTTATTTCTATAGGGCTTTTACAATGTAGGTTGTGTCAAAGCAGCTTAACATAGAAGTTCTGTGATTATTAGCTTCAAATTAAAACTTTTGTTTTGTTTATGATTAAAGTCGTTGCACGTCAGCCGGTTCCCGCCTCTGAATGAGCGAGTTTGAGCTACTTCCGCATGAAAACGAAACATCTGCGAAGAAATTTGACGCAGAGGAACATAACCTATTGCCAGCTAGCGTTTCAGAAGTGTTAACTGTGTCAGTCCAGTTTTCAGAGTTTTTAGTTCAGTTCAGTGTGGATTAAATTTCACTGAAAGTCCAAACATTGAAGTGCAAATCCATCAATGCGCAAGCAAGTGCTGACAATGGCGAGGAACAGACTTCACCGATTGACAAAACTGAAGGATGTCTCCTTTGTCTGTCACACGCATTACAGCTCTTTCAGTCTCTGCTAATGAGCTAATGATCTGAATATGTTGTTTTTGGTTAAAGGGACATGGAAGATGTGCAGATCTAGTGGTCCTCCATGAACGTGGCTGAGAAACACTGCTCCTAATAGCTTTAGCGGTAGTAGTTGAAAGTTGAATGTGTTTTTGTATGCTGGCTTTTTAAGATGTCATCTATGCAGCGAGTTCCACGGCTTTTGGAGTTTTTCGTTCTTGTAGGATGATGACCAGTCAAGAGTGAGCTAAAGCTGCACTCCAAACCCAGTAAGAAATCTTTCATTCCCAATGAACGAAACATGAGGTTTGACTAACGTGCTCCTCTGGCAATGTGAGGATTTTTCTGTGTCTGAGCTGTTTGTGAATACACAACGGACTCCTCTCTCTTTCAGAATAGAGCTCGTCTTGTTCTCCAGAAATAGATTTTTACTCAGAGTAGATTTGTCAGTTGTTATGAACAGAAAGGCTCCGGGAGACATTGAAAAGATGTATGTTTGAGCTTCAACAACTGACAAACACATGCAGCTTAGACATATTAGGGCCAATTCCTGTAAATTCCTTATCTTTTATTTAAATGGATAGTTCGCCCAAATATGACGTTTCTGTCATCGTTCTTTACTCTTGCTGTTCTCAACGTACGTTCATCTTTGAAAATACAGATGTAGATAGTTCTAGTATTCTCTCATCATTTTTCTTCATCCGTTGAAAGTTTAAGCAACCAAAATGTTCGTCATAAAAATAATCTATACAACTCTGAATCTATAAACAATAATCTATAAAGCTTTATTTAATAAACACAATTAATTTAGGCTTTCATTCAGATTCAGATTAAAAAATAATGCATCAAATTAATTTTAATTTAGGTCGACTGGTATGATCCAAGTCGTTTTTTTATGTTCAATTCACCTTTATTTGCATAGCGCTTTGACAATGTAGATCGTGTCAAAGCAGCTTCACACAAATGGTCATAGTAAATTGAAACAGTGTAGTTCCGTTTTTTTAGTGATTAAGTTCAGTTCAGTTTAGCTCAGTTCAGTGTGATTTACCAATCCCAAACCATGCAAGCTAGTGGCGACAGCGGAGAGGGGAAAAAAACTTCACCGATTGGCGAAAGTGAAGAAAAAATAACCTTGAAATAAACCAGTCTCAGTTTGGCATGACCAATTTAATTTCTCCGCTGGCCAAACGTCTTGTGCAGAGCTGCAGTCTCAGCGGCGGAGCCTGGAAGCTGGCTTTAGCGAAGACTCGTCTGTCCCTGGAGCGTCACAGGAATCAGTTTCATGCGCTCCACTCCCCCATGTGGTGCATCTGCATAAATTATAATAAATTACTAGCAAAAATGATTGCATAAATAATTAAAGTGTTTTCTATGGAGTCTAACAGTATTTATGTACAGAAATTAAACAATCGAATGTAAAATAACATGATCGTTGTATAAATAAAAATGCAGATGTATATTATTATCATTAATCTTATTGTCATTAAATTTCTAATAAATCTAATCCTGCGATATGACTATGGCAGATACACGCATTGCGATATCGATGCTCAAACGTTATATTATTCAGCCCTACATCAAATATAATAAAGGAAACATCAATTATGATTTGATCCACAGCTACTCATTAGTTTCACATAAACTTGTGAAATGCAAAATGATGGGAGAATTTCAAAAATAGTCTCATCTTAGACTATAGCTACATCTTTGAAAGATTTTCCGTGACGTTCAGTACAAACTAGTGCATTTTTAATAGTTTGTTCTTCTTGAATTCTCATAGTGAGTCCTGATATGTCATTTTGTAAGTTTGACCATCTTTTTCGTTCATATTAAATGTCAAATATCAGCCTCTCTGCAGGTCCGTGAGGGATTTGCAATGTAATCACGCACAATAGACCTTAAAATGTATATAGTATTGTAAGAGTTGTTCGTTTTGATCAACTCTGTTTGGAATTTGATATGTTTTATTTGACTTGTAGCTCTCGTTTGAGATTAAACGTATGCAGGATGTCCTGTTAGTAGGGATGTAACGAGGAACTGCGAAAAAAAAATCGATTCAAGTATGTCACGATTCAAATCGGTTGAGATGCCAAACGAATCACGATACAGTTCGAGTAGGAGTATGAATGAATGTTTAAGGGGAGCCGACTCGGTGACTTGCCTGCTTCATTATTATATGGTATGCAAAAAACAGTATGTGAGCTGAGTAGTATGTCCGAATTCATGGTATTCGAAAAACAGCAGGCGAGAAGCAAAGCTACTTCCGGCGAAAATCGTATTGCGCATTTAATCTTATTGCGCGATCAATATTTTATACAGTTGAAGTTTTTTTCCCCCAAACAAATTTTTCACAGTAATTTCTGTATTTTTTGCTCTAGGGAAAGCCTTATTTATTTTTTATTTTTTTGGCTAAAATAAAGTTTTTAATATAAAAAAAAATTAAGGTCAATATTATGCCCCCCTGAGCAAATTTGTTTTCATTGTCTGTAAAAAAAAACATCAATACCATATAGTTCGTCAACAAAGTTGCCACATAAAGGCTGATTAATACTTCTACGTTAAGTGCATGCGTATGGTCTGGTGCAGCTTTCGTGTGGTCGCATAGTCCCTCGCCATGGCCGACGTTGACACGCACCTCTCAAAAAATTTAACCACACTATGCATTCATGCGTAGCGCAAGCTCTGTGATTGGTCTGTTGGTAGCTATGACGAGTGTGGGCGATGCTGAGAGCCTCGAACCCAAGTGTAACTCTGTGTGGACTGCAAGAGTGGGGCTTAACATAAAGCAACGATAAAGGGGCGAGATTTGAAACGTGCAGTTATCAAGATCCCATTAAACCATGTGAGATGTTATGAGATGTTGTTGGCTAGATGGCGGAAATACTTACCAGAGAACATTTTCGCCAAATGTTGTCATGCGTTTTCCCCAAAATTAATCCACAACCAATTCATTTGATATATTATTATGTTCATACATTGAGCAACTCCACCCGCTGACGACTTTTTTTGTTTTGTCATGACTGTTAGCCTACTCTGTGTCCCCCCCCTGTGGTTGCAAATAACAGTACAATGGCGACTGCGTCAAGTATGAAAGCCTCCGCAACTCACGGCTGTACGTTAATAACTGTGATGGTTGGATTTAAGGTTGGGGAAGGTGTAGACGGTAACAACAGTGATGGTTGGGGTAGGTGTGGACATTATAACTATGACGGTTGGGTTTAAGTTTGGGGAAGGTGCGTTAATAACTATGATGATGGTTGGGTTTAGGGTTGTGAAAGGTAAAGATGTTAATATCTGTGATGGTTTGGTTTAGGTCGTGAGTAGGTGTAGATGTTAAGGTACAGCGCCTTTTGGCGACAACATAATTGGGACGTGGGTCTGCTTAACTTATAACTTACCAATTACGCCGCTAACATACTATAAGTTACGCCCTGTCTTGCAGTCCACAGACCTTACTTCGAGAGCCCGATGGAGCAAGTGTTTACAAGTCTCGAGTCCCATGAAGGAGCTCCAAATTAAAACTTTGTTTCGTGTTTATAATTAAAGTCGTTGTACGTCAGCCGGTTCCTGCCTCTGAATGAGCGAGTTTGAGTTGCTTCTACATTAAAACTAAACATCCGTGAAGAAACGCGACACAGAGGAACGTAAAAGCCTATTGCCAGCTAGCGTTTCAGAAGTGTTATTGCAGAGCAACACAAACAGCACGTAGAAGTATAAATGTACTATATGCAAGGCAATTGCTATGGGTCATGCCGATCACTCGACGCAGAAGTATAAATCAGCCTTAATGCTGTGTTTTCGAGTAATTTATTAAAAAGTAGGTACAGCGCCATCTTGTGTTAACGAAAGTGACTTGATCAGAAGTGAATCTGCATCTCATTCAGCTCATCTGCTTTTTTTTTCACAAAATTAAGCTCAGACCATTCTGCTTTTGCTTCAGATATTGAAATTATGTAGTCTAATTTAGATTCGACTACAAAGAAAACTGCTATGTCTGCTTCATCATGCTTTTAAAAAATGAGTATTTAAGTCGTTGCCTTCCATTTTATAAAAGAGCGCACAGTTTAAAAGCTTACTTTATATGAAGAGATTTATTTTATTTGCATAACTTATTTGATTTCAAAATTTCAATTTAATCTTTACATTTTAGTTTTTCAGAGAGGATGCCTTGTAGAATTTGTTATACTCGTCATTTATCGTACATCTTCATTGTAGTTTAATTTTCTTAAGTATGAAAATATTTAATTGTCAAATCCAAATCGTTCAGGGAATCGTTACATCCCTACTATTCATTTAGACAAGCAGAAATAACGCACACAACAAAATCATCCCGCGGCCTTATAGGGGCCGTTCACACAGAATGCGTTTTTCCATTCCAATGCGCTACTTTTCCAGTTGATTCAATGTAAACTTGCGCTTGACAGACGTGCCTGAACGATACATGAGCGCTGTTTTTTTTTTTTTTTTTTAGAAGCCGTGGCCAGTCAAAAGTACTTCAATTTTACACTCCACTTACACTCTTAAACGTCTATTCCAAAGCTGTGGACCAATCAGAAGTGTTATGAACTTCTGATTACAGACTTTCTGGATACTTTTAAGCTCTATGTTGTGCTTTTAAGCCATTCCCAAGTGCTGCGTCTTATATTTTTTAGACACAACAATGCTTTCTGTGCGAACGAGCCCTTAGAGATCACAGCGCCAGTGTTCGATCAGCCTTCGTCAGCCAGTGTTCATCAATATATACGTTTGCAAGGATAGATGTGTGTGTGTGTGTGTACAGGTTTTAGTAGGTTATGAGGACTCAAATTCATATAGTGCCATGGGTTTGACTTGGTTGTTACTAGTTGAGGTGGTTTATGGGGACATGCCCTGTGGCCTCATAATTCGAAGTGCTTAAAAATCATACTTATGGGGTCTTTTCACATTCTGAATTTGCCACAGATTTCCTGTGAGTGTTGGGGTTAGGCTAAGGAAGATTTATGATGGGTTCACATATGAACCCTGATGGGACTCAGAATCAAGTATCACACATGTAAATGACATATTAGAACATATAATTTACATGGAAGCCAATGAATAGAGCTGAATTATCGGCATGTGGTGTGAATGACACAGAATGCCTGACTCTCAAATTCAATTGAAATCAATTTCTGTGAATGGCAAAACATTCCCTGGGTAAACTAGAGATAGTGACGCAGGCTCTGTTTTTCATGCTGGTGTTTTTCCTCTCATTCATTTTTTGCTCTAGTTTAATTATTAGAAATTGAGACGATTTCCTTTGCAAACACATCATGATTTCACATCATTTGCTTCCTGTCGCAATAATTTGCACACTTACATTGACTTGTACGTAATTTACTTCTGCATTTGCTGTGCAGCATTACAATATTACATACATTATGCAACTGTAGAGTCATAAACCACCAAAACAAGTATGTAAGATGGAGTGTGAGCTGACTGGTTTGGTTGGTGCCTTTTTTCCTGTGTCCTCTTTCACTACCCGTCCTTTTGGACTCTCGTCCTCGGCCTTCTGTTTATTTCAGCTCTGAAGGGTTGGACATTCCTTAATGGTGGGTCCAGGGAGATTTTTGTTTGCCTTCTGATTGTTGCTTTATTGGTTTAGTGCTTTAATTGCTTGTGTGTTTCCAGACCACTGTTTTTAACTTGTTTTTTTTTCCCCTAATATCATCTAGTAACCAAAGATATGGACTCTTTTTTTTTAATACCATGACCATTCAGTCATAGCTTTATCTAAAAATAACTTGGACGTGGCATTTTATTTGAATGTGTCATATTGGGGAACAGTGATGTTTTAATTCTGACTTTCTATCTACTTTGTCTTGCAATTTCGATGTTGTAATTGAGAAAAACAATTCTACGAGCTTTATATATACAGATTTTATAAACTTAAATATGAGAAATAAACGTACAACTCATGAAGCAAACATTTAGAATTGGTTAATATTTTAAAAAATGGTCAGAACTGTGGGGGAAAATATATATATATTTGGCAATGACTTGCCTAAGTAATTAATTGTCATCTTGCAAATATACCAGCCTCCATCTCACCAAGAAACATAACTATTTTACATTTTGTCAGTTTGGTGGCTAATTCGTACTGGTTCAGTCGTATGAAAATGTACGATTTTTAAAAGGAGGTGTGGCTCTCAACCCCGCCCATAAACGAAACTGTTATTGGGGGATGAGCAAATCAAACTAAATTGTATGAATGAGTTGGGCTGGGCGATACAGCAAAAACAAAAATGATCACGATATCATGTTTTATATCGTTCAGTATCGATAATTATTACATATTTTTTAACGATCCATTTATGAATATTAGTTTTTTTTTAAACCACTATTTTAATTTGCCAACATTACTAATGCAAATAGTTTTATTAGTCAAATGTTAAAGAGACTCGTAAACTTGATAAATTCAGGTGTTTTATAACTAGCTGCGCCTGAAAATGCAATTGCGTCATGTAGGGTTGGGTCAATAGACATCACGAAGTTGAGCTGGCATCGCAATCCTGTGCCTTTTTTTTATTTTATTATTATTATTTTTTTAGGGGCTTTCACTTTTATTGTGATAGGACAGTGGAGATTTAGAGACAGGATGGTATGGGGAGCAGCGATAGGGGAAAGGTCTGCAAAGGACCTTGAGCCAGGAATCGAACTCAGGTCGCCGTGAGCAAACTCTGTGCCATATGTCGATGCACTAACCACAAGGCTATTGGCGCCGACAATACGTCTTAAGCAGGTTGCACACCAGAAGCGCCATGCATTTTGGAATTCTAAACATAGGTTTCTATCAGGATACACACACCGGCGCCGCAAGTCGGGGGCTGTCGGCGGCGCCCGGCCACAGCTCAGGACGCAGTTCATTTTTCAGCCGTGCCACAGAGCGCCATCTGATTAGTTTTATGTTAAATATCATTCGAATGTGCGCGTCTGGTGTGTGATACTTTAAACTGTCATGTGTGCGCCGTGTCACGGCGCCGAGCAGCGCTTCTGGTGTGCGACCTGCTTTAGTTTTAAAATGGCATTTTAGAACTAAAATGATCCACGTCCTCACTGGCGTTTCATCTAGCACTTCTGAACCTCTATACTGCTGAAAATCATCACGTGACCACACAAGCACTCTGTCATGTGCTGTAGTGTATATGCGCGTCTGAGCTCCTGCAGTCAGCGGGTGCTTTGAGCACAAAACCTCGGAGACCAGTACGCATCGAACAGTTTATCAAGGATGTACCGTTGGATCACATCTCACTATAGTTGTTAATTGTGATATTTATGTAATCTTTTCTCTATCTAACGAGTCTTCGGCCTTTTGAATCTATTTGGTAACATGTCACAGCATCAGTACACTGCTTCAATCTTTCGCTTTCATGCTTGTATCAGTAATTTTAGTGAAAAGCTTAGATACTGTTGGTTGGTTCCTTTGGGTTGCACCTCTTTTTACCAACCTAGTTTGTCATAGCCATTATCACGACACAG